GTTATGCACAAATATTTAATCTTTTCCAATCTGCCCTTTTGTACAGCTGTCAGCTCTAAACTGCTCTGTTTGCTTTAGCCAGGAACAGGATACTGCTTTGAAAGGCAATGCAGAAGTCAGATTACTTCTGAATCGCCTTTTATTTCTGCACGAATGCTTTTCGAGGTAACTATAGATTTAGATTTTTCTTCTTCACCGAAGAGTGTGCTGCCAGTGTGGATTTGGTAAAGAGTAGCCAGGAAAATCTGGCCACACAGTTGGTTTTTTTGTTTATTTATTCCCTGTAGCTTGGAAATTAGTTACAGAGAGGTTTAAAAATAAACCCAAGCACAGTTTCGTATGGATCTCTTTCAGTCAGGGTTTGCTCCTTTTCCTTTAAAGTGAGTCATTATCTCATGCAAAATGTATTTGCTCCTGGGAGCAGAGCCTTGAGAAGACACCTGCAGACAACTCTGAAGAAGGGAAAGGGGGTGCAAAGGGGGTACACTGAGCTGCAGCAGTAACAGTGGTAAAGTCTGCATTGTGCCCTGAACTCCGGCTATTGTGGCAATCCCCCTTCCCATACTATGCACTTATCACTCCCTTGTGCAAGAGAGATGCAGGCACAGTACCTTGTCTGTGCACACAGCTACTCATGCAGATGGCTTGGGTACTTCTTTCAGAGCTCTTTGCTTTATTTGCTATTGGCTTTGATCTGTGTCAAGGGACGGTGAAACTGTGATTTTCCATTACAGTACCAAAAAATGACAGATAACAAGTCCTAATTGTTAGAGACTGTGATAAACATCATACTTTTAAGTTCTTTCAAACTCACCCTCAAGCGGCTCTAGACGCTCTCTAAAGCCATAGGATGACAGAAACCATAAAAATGCCCTGGGGACTTTGGATGAAGTTTGGAGCAGAATAAACAGTGAGAGGAAAAGATCATTTAGCAGAATTGAGCAGTTAGCAGAATTTGGCTTAGAATCCAAGGTCTGAAAATGCTATTGGTTAACTCAAAGTTACAACTTTGAGAGGAAAGAGGAAATGAACTATGGGAATGGTGAGAACTCTCATGTTCTTCCATGTGAATATTTTGGAAAGCATTTCTGTGGCAGGACTCTTGTGGTATAGTAAGCAAGAAAGAGCAGGATACAAAATGAAATACATAGTGTAGATAAAATAGAAGAAAAACCAACAAAATATTAGGCATAGCTATTACATGATGAGACTTCACTTTTATAGTTTTGGAAAATATTTTTTCTTTGTACTACTCTACAATTAATATAGATTTCTATTATAATCAGAGATTAACTAGTAAGGTGGAAAAAAAGAAAGGACCACTGCCTGGTATACAGCACATGAGCGGTGAGGAGCCTCAGTTGTCAGAAGCAAGCTCTCTACAACAACGTAGGGAGGCTCATGAAAGAAGAATGTTTTCTCTGCCCGCCTCTCCAGTGGAATGGTTAGCTTCTAAGTCTTCAGAGTCTTCCTGGTGTGACAAAACACCTGGGACAAAGGAGAATGTCTTTTAGTTCAAGTTTCAGGGTCACGAACCATGATCTGTACAGTGAGGTGGAGCCTTGTGATGGAGGCAGAATGAGAGGAGGGGTAGGGGCCTCAATGCCCATTTGAAGACACAGCCACCGGTCGTGTGCTTTCTCCACGAAGGCTTCACCTTCCAAACTATTTTTTAAAATGTCTTTTGTGTGTATGTGCAGTGTACATGCAATGTATGTGCAGGACACGTGACTATGCACATGAGTCAGAAGACATCAGGTGCCTTATCACACAAGAAAGTCTGCTTTGTTTCCTTGAGACAGGTACTTGCTGAACCTAGAGCTAACCTGATGACCAGCAAGCCCCAGAGATCCTGCTGTCTGCTCTCCCGGAGTGCTGAGTGTGTGCTAGGGATTTGAACTCAAGTCCTTACACTTGCACACAAAGTGCCTGATGAGCTAGGCCCCAACTTCTGATGTTTCTAACACTTTCAATAGCATTATCAGCTGGGAACCAAACATTCAGCACATGAACCTTCAGGGGACATTCCAGATCTAAAGTTTACATAATAGCTTCTTTGTTTTCTCTGTTGATCTCATAAGAGGATAAGCTTGGATAGATGTGTGCTACACTGTGAGGATGGGGGAGATGCTTCCCCAGTTTAAATCTGAGAGACTGGCAGAAAATGAAGCATGTTTTATCCAACACCAAAGTTCTTGTAAGCAACAACTTGAAAAATAAAAGATAAATGCAAGATGCTGTTTGTACTTCTTCAGTCATTCCAGGAGTTCAGCAGAACCATATAGCATTAGAGTTTTGATAATCAACTGTTATGTGGTCATTACTGAAAAGGGGATGGAAAAAAAACCCAAGGAAGTAAAATGTATAACCCAGGCATCAAGGAGTCTACAGACTGGGTAGGAATATCAGCACTGGATAACATGAGCTCAAAGAAATGATCTCTGAGGGTTAGGGGAGTGAGGAAGCTTCATGCTAGTTGGGCTGAGCTCTAATTAGTTGCAACAAAAGAGCAAAGTTTTCCAACCTAGGCAAGAACCACTGTCAATCATAGCTAGAGGAGAAATGACATGCTAGATGCAAGAGGTATCAAGGAAGATAGCATACTGGGCCCAAAAATGTTATGGAGCATCAGAAAGCAAACAGAAATGCAAAGGGCAGGGATGTTGGGAGAAGGGGATCTCAAAAACCAATCCCCAAGGGGAAAAGAAGAGTGCTCATAACACACTCTTAATATCAACCATCTGCTCAGTGCATTTGGTAGCCCTGCTCATGGAAACCACATGCAGAGATAGAAAGGAGGTTTCTGCTTCAAGACTCTTTTGTCAAGATAATTATAGTAAAGATAAGTAAAGATAACCTAAAAATAGAAGTAATCATTTCCTCTTGCATTTCTGAGACATTAATTATGGAAAATTATATTTTTTATCCTAAGTTAGTATTTATAAAAATACTGAATAAATAAAACATTTGGGGAGAAAAAATAGTAAGATTGCATGCTTGGAAATTTTATGGGTTTTGAAAACAGAGAGAGACAGACATCAATCATGTTGTAGTGCCAGCAAGCTTCCCATTATCTTGAACTTTGGAGATTTTTTCTTCCCCTAGACATTGAAAGGCCGGAGCCGAGTCTGTGCCAACCTCACTCATTAACTTGGTGCCACTGGTTTTAATGAGGTAGGAGGCTCCACTAAGGATGAGGCCTGCAGGACAGAGGGATGACTGGTCAATAATAGTGAAAAATACTGTTTTTTGTTTTTTATGGGCTTCCATGGGCATACGCTATTGATTTAGTGGACCTTAATAGAGTCTACATTTTTTTTTTTAGGTTTTATTAAATCAGCTTACAGAATTATTTTTCAATTGTTAAGTGTGTTTCAAAAGCTTTTTCTCCCATCCTTCTTAAATTGTGACAATATTGATGTGTATTTGATTTGTATTGTTTTTTAAATTTTTATTTTTTAAATATTTTTGAGGAGTTATTTATTTACTATGTATATAATGTTTTGTCTGCATGTTTACCTACTTGCACACCAGAAGAGGGCACCAGATCTCATTATAGGTGGTTGTGAGCCATCATGTGGTTGCTGGGAATTGAACTCAGGATCATTGGAAGAACAAACAGTGCTCTTAACCTCTGAGCCATCTCTCCAGCCCTGGATGGGTATTCTTTGACAAGTAACTATTATGATTTTTCAAAGGTTAAAGTGGCAAATTAAGCTAGTGGGTTTGATGTGAGTGACCATCAAAGCTGAGCACTGACAATAACGGAACATTGAAGGGTTTAGTAGGTGTTGGGACAGTAGTCATCAGTCAGACCCATGGGGATTTTGTTCTAATGGAAGCTTTTTGCTTTGTAGCCGTTTCTCCAACAAGCCTCGATTTAGTGCCTCAGATTGCCTTCAGCACTCAACCTTCACCTCAGTTTTAGAACAGAGCAGCTTCAACCACCTGTGGCCCAGTGGGACAGAAAGATGTGTACAAAAAACTGGACATGAACCCTGGAGAGGAGGCCATCCTGGAAATATCTCTGGGGTCTAAAGTCCTCTAATGCCCTCCACTGCAACATGGATAGGCTACTTTTTTTGTGGTCATCAGGTTTCCAGCTCAGCTAATTCAATCTGCATGTGTTAGGATGAAAATGAGTTTGTCATTGTATAATGTGAGGGCATGACTGTGCTGAAATGATTATACAAGAATGAGAAGCTGGGAGAATGGAAGCCCATGAGACTGGAGAAGTTTAGGGTGGGGGCAGGGTGAGAAGAGCCCAAGTGCCAGAAATTTTGTAACAGGTATTAGGGATGCTGAGAGAGCCTGCAAGCCAGCATATGCGCTGGTATGCTAATAGACACCACAGAGTTTCTTTTGAACCTGACTGTCATGTATCTACATGAACTAGTGTTGCTTTGGAATTTGATAGGTTTAATTCAAGTGGATGTTGGTGATAAGAACTGTGATTTAATCTTTTTTGTCCCACTAGAGTTGCCATCAGGATTCTGCCTAGGTTGCAGGAGTATCCTCTCCAGCAGTGTTGATCTGAAGAAGTGTGGAGTGTCCCCTGGCCAGAAAGAATGGCCACACACTTTTGGGGATGCAGGAACTGACAAATGGCTAGCAGCTTTCTTAAAGTTCCCTACCACATTCAACTTTTGACCTTCAAAAGTTTTTTGTTGTTGTTGTTGTTGTTTTTTTTTTTTTTTTTATTAACAAAAAGACATGCCAGGGCTACATACTTAGGACCTTTACAGCAAAGAGGAAAAGTTTATTTTTTTCTAAGCCTTAAACATTCCAGAGATGATTTTCCAAGCCTTAACAGCATCAAGTTATTATGACATCTTTGAACTTAAGTCAGGGGGAAGTGAAGATATATAAATGGAAGTATTTATTTCCTTAAAATACAGCTTGGATTCCCTCTCCAACTTTGAGAAGGGGTACTGTGAGGAAAAGGGATACTCATTACAAATCTGGTAGTCACGGCAAAGCATTCTTGCACCTGCTCCATATCAGGAAACCTCGCATCCTCTCTTCCACTCAGACATGTCTTTGCCCTCGCAGTGTTTCTTCCAGCCCTGCCTGAAGAGGAGATGGAAATGGAACAGCAGAAGGAAACATGCTAACCCCAATGACCTTAGATGTAACATCTAGAGGGGTACTCAGTGTTTAACCTGCTTCTCACATCTAGTTTTCACTCTTTGGTCATTTAATCCTTCTGTGTTTCTCCACCCTCACCCAATTATTAAACATATTTATTTATCTATCTATCTATCTATCTATCTATCTATCTATCTATCTATCTATTTATTTATTCACTTTACATCCTGGTTGTAGTCCATCCTTCCTTGACTCCAAGTTTCCCCTCTCCCTTCCCCTGTTCCTCAGAAAAAGAGAGCCCCATTCTCATTCACCCCAGCTCATCAGGACGGAACATGTCTTCTTCTTCTGTGGCATAGCAAGGCAGTCCAGCCAGAGGGAAGTAATAAAAAAGCTGGCAATTGAGTTCATGTCAGTCCTTACTTCCCTTATTTGATGACTCACATGAAGCGTAAGCTGCCCAATACTACATCTTTGTAGGGGGGTTCTATGTGGGAGGAAAGAGAAAAGGACCTAGAGGTGACAGGAGCTCCACAAGAAGACCACCAGAGTCAACTAACCAGGGCCCACAAGGGCTTGCTGTGGCTGAAGCTTCCTCCTCTTCCCTCTCCAAATCTAGTCACTGTTTGCCTCACCAACAAGCAAACTACTTTTGTAAGGGTGGATTGCTGAGACCCACAGCTTTCAACTACCAAATGGGCATTCTGATTAGCTGTACTCATTAGAAATACAGCCACAGAGACAAAAGAAGCATGCTCACAAATGGAACCTGCTTGGTCTTAGGCAAGGTTTCTAATGAGTTGTCATTTACAGACTGGGGCCTTTTATCCTCTCTGCTCTTTATTATCTTTCTTCACCAAATATTGCTGCAGTCTCAACATAGCATGAATCCAGAGCAAAGTGAGGCTCCCAGACCCCTGTCGTATGATAGACTCCTTCCCTTCACAGAACAGTAAGACCTTTTCCATACTTGTACTGTGTTCCTCTGGACCCCCGCTCACATGGGGATGAGTATAAACGTGCTCATGGCCCTGGTTTGGATCACTCTAGAGGTTCCAGTATTCATGTCAACCTGAACCAAAATGAACAGACACACTGGGTTGTATCCAGGTCAGCCCGAGTCTCCCAACAACACACTCACCAATAGTTCATCCCTTGTGTCTCTTTAACAATTTTCTTGGCACAGAGAATGGCATCTGTGAGGTCATCAGTGACCAAGGCTGTAAAGAAAGGGAGTGTGAGGGTCAGCCAGGGCTTTTGTTGTCTGAGAGGTCCTTTTGCCAGAGCTTCTGCAGTTTTCTGGAAGAGACTTAGAATTGTGACTTTCCCTACAGAGAAACATGATTTTTTTTTCACCAAAACCACATCTTTTGTTCTCAAACTGTCCTCACTTCACCTTTCTGAGAAAGAACTACATTATTTCTCTATCCTATATTTTTGTATATATATATATAATGGAAAATATGTAGTGGGGGACTGCATTTAGAGATGATAGTAGGAAGCTTTAACAAACTGTAATGTTTTTTTATTATTATTTATGATTGTATGTGTGTGTGCTCGTGCCTGAGGAGGCCAGCACAGGCTATCAGATTCTCTGGAGCTAGAGTTATAGTCAGTTACGAACTGCCCTATTTGGGTGTCAGTAACCACGCTCAATGTCCTCTGGAAGACCATCAAGTACTCTTAACAATGGAGCTATGCCTTCAGCCTGGCAGTTGTGTTTTGTTTTTGTTTTTGTTTACCATCCTGTAGTCATATACTCGCAAGGTAGGGCAGCACCATGTTTTCTGTACTGGGGTCAGTTTTACATCTACACCATCTCTATGAACAAAGACTAAACTTTCAGCTGTTGTAGTTTTCCAATTTGTATGTTAAAAGTATTTAAGGTGTTCTTTATGTGAAGAAGATGCAAAGTTTTTAAGCTAACTGCTCCATTCTTTATTGCTTTGTCAGTTGAAGTGTGATCATTGATGTGCTTTTTTTTCTTCTGCTTTCTTGGAAGTAGTCTCCAAAACATGACAGAAAAAGTCAAAGATATATGAAAATTCTAAGATCACTTCTAGGGAAAGGTGCGGTCTCCAGGTGCAGACCTGAAGGCAGAATGGGGTTAGTAGAGATGGGGGTTGCTAGACTTGGAGCTGAGGAGGAAAGGAGATGTTGCTCACAGCACAAACTTGCAGATGCAACATGTAAGGGTTCTAGAGGTCCAGGTCACAGCATAATGGTTATGTAGTTAATATGTTATCATATATATCACACACCATATACCACACCACACCACAGACACACACACACACACACACACACACACACACACACAAACAATCTCTCCCACCCATACCAGCCCCACACAACATACATCCCGCATACATATACATACCATACACACACCCTGTGCACACATTTGTAACACACAGAAGCCATACAAATATCACACAACCTATAAACACACACCTCATACATACAGCACACACAAAACACACTCTCCCCACACTATACACCACCTTAATACCCTACCTTACCACACACATATACACACGTACATACACACACCATACACCTACACATAAACATGCCACACACAAATACCAGCATGCACCACACTCCCCATGTACTGCATATACACCACACGTACATAACACACACATATACCCCATAACTATGGATGTGCTACTAGCTGAGTGTAGAATGACTTCATAATATATGTGGATATGAAAGTATCACATTGCATACATTCTTTACCTGGGTTTTTATGGTGAATTATACTTAAATAAGGCTGGACAAGATGACACAGAGCAAACTTAACACTTAATACATGGAAAGCCCCAGCTTCTCGGTTGTCTTAGCTAGATTTCAGGTATGTCACTGTCTGGTATATCTCCCATCTGGTGCTTCAGAAGGCCCCACCTTTACACAAAGCCTATCGGACAGCTCTAGAACAAAGATGATTATGAACCTGGTGCTGTCTTCATGGGGATTAGCTCTCAGATGTGTTCTTTGGTGCTTTGACATCATTGCTGCATAGCCTCTAAAATCTTATAAAAGAACTACATTATTCTAACTGTAAGAAAAAAAAATATCCAGAGAGAAGAAATGTTGACTTGAAATATTAATAAAATATCATAACAAAGAATTGTTTGCAAATTTGCTTGAAGTGGAATTTTTCCTTCAGTGTGCTGGTTTACTTTTAATTATATTGAAAGTAAACTTTTCTTATATTAAAACTTTTCTTAGAAGATGAAGGTAAATTTATTCAAAATGTGGCTCGTTTTGATTTTGATTTAATACACACTATAATTTAATAATAATAATAAAAAAGGCTGTTCCTGGAGGCAGGAACAGCTGAATCAGGGTAACAAACCATTGCATTTAGTTTAGTAACACCAAAAGAAGCAAAGCTATGGCAGCTTTTAAGTCTTGTTTCTAGAAATGCACAACAACTATTGACTATCAGTTAAGTCATTGAACACATCTTTCCTGTGTCAGGCATACAGTAAGTATCTTTATGAAAATCCCCACTAATCCTCAGAACATTTATTTTGGTGGATACCATCATTGTCCCTATGAGGCCACATGCCTAGTAGAGGAGACTGTGTTTGGAAGTGGCTGGGGATGGACCCTAGAACAAGTGACATTGGTGATGTTTCAAGATGGGAAGGGAACATTACACATTGTAGGGAGGAACTTGCCATGTTCCATTATTCTGTGACAAGAGTATATCCCATGTATGTGTCCAAGGGCAAGATTAAGTCTTGAAAGACAGTTTGAACCCTGAATAGGACTCATTCACAACAAGATCAAGTGGTGTGATTATGGAAGAGGGAAGTTGTTTATCAGCCTGGTTAGGGTGCTCAAAAGGGGCTACTTAGAGCTGAGTGTGGTGGTGCATGCCTGTAATTCCAGCTCTTGGGAGGAACAGGAAAGAAGATTTTGAGTTCAAGGCCAACCTCAGCTATACAGTAAGTTTGAGCCCATTCTAGATGATGAAAATCAATACTGTTTATAAAATTAACAACAACAACAACAACAACAATAATAAAAGAAAAACCCGCTGGAAATGACTAGACTAGTTTAGGTGTTTAGGAAGCCTGGGCTGAGAAATAAGGATCCAGTTACAGAGCTGGGACACTGAAACATATTGAAATTACCACAGAGGGGCAGCAGAGAGGCAAACATCGGGAGGTAGCAAGCTTTTAGAAGGATTCATGCCAATAATTGTTTCTGCCCAGGTTCCCTTAAATACCTTGAATGTCCAGTCATTCAAGAAATGAAACAGTTCCTCAGGAATGGAATGTAGTGTAATAGTTTACATCCAACAGCAGAGAACAGCAGTGATCGGTATTTAAAGCAGTACTTGCTTCCACTTAGCACATGCCAAAGACCCCATGCCTGCCCTGCCTCCCAAATAATTACAAGCTGCATGGCCCTGGCTTACATTTCTTTCTCTTCTCGGAAGTAACAAAGGCCAACTTAGATGCAAGGCCAATGAGGAATAAGATTAGCACACATGGCATCAGCAATTGCCTTCTTTCCCGTAACTACCTCTCAATAGCAAAGCCTGTGTTTTGAAAGAAAATTAAGATTGCCATTATATCAGAAATTTCATAAATGGTGTATGTACTTATGCATGAATGTATATACATATATATGTGTGTATATTTGTGTTTTTTAATTTTTATATGTGAATGTCTACTTAGTCCTTCTTCTGGTGCTCTAACCAAATGCACAGAACTAAAAATTTATAGATAGAGAACTTTAATCAGAGCATGTTGCTGGAATCTGTGCATGGCAGAGTACCTTACTTGGAAGACAGAGCATGCATGCTCACATGGGCTTCCCTCCTCATGCTATAAAGTCACTAATGTCAAGATAGGGTCCCATCTTCCACCTTCACCTAACTGTAACTGCTTTTCAATACCCCCCTTCAAAATACCAGTCACATGAATTTGATGATTGTTTCTAACATATAAACTTTGGGAGAATACATTTAAATGACCATGAATACATAAAAATCAATTCTGCCTGAGTAGTTTGAAGAAAGGAGGTGGGGATTTTAGAAATATAGTTTTGAAATGAAAGATTTTATCAAATATAAATTCTGAAGTGGCACAAAGCCTATTCTATACATGGAGGTGATGTCATGTACCTTGTGACAATACCTAATGCCAACTGGTTTCTGGGGCTTCACAATAATGTCTCTAGTTCAATACAAGGCAGACACAAAGATATTGTTCCCAATTACTGTTTTGTTGGCCCAAGGCTGAGGCAGACCAGTCACTGGAGGCTGATTAGGGTATAAAGCCAACATCATGTTTCTATTTTAAAGCTGAGTCTAAAAAACTTTTTTTTGGCTCCCTACACAAGGATTATCCTGCATTTCCTGAGACTTCCTTAATTGGAAGCAAGAGGAACAGTATTAACTGAATAAAGTACGTATTACGTGAAGCATATTTGTGATAACAAAAAGAATTTTTCCTTTCTGCTGTCAACAGCTGGAAAAATAGTGAAACAGTGGATGGTACAGGATGACCTCTGAGAGAAAAAGCAGAAGCACAGAGCCAGCCCCCACTCCTCAAGCAAGAAGAATAGGCAGGTGAAAACCAAGACATATCAGATGCCTTAGAGAGTATCTGAGAGGCAGGCTGAACACGCCTGAACCAATCTGGGTGAGCCAAGGGTCTGATTCCTTGGCCCAAGCAGGAACAAATGCCCTGGAACTAGAAAACAGCAGGTTCAACAGGTTGGCAAAGTTACCTTATTTCTGCCTACTTAGGAGGAAGAGACCTCACAGAACCTCTAGGACATTCCAAACAGATGCTAGGAAATAAGCAAAAGAACCACCTGCACATAAAATAGTCTAGAACTCTGTCAAGATATTTAAATACAAACTTAGTTACTTGTCAAAATTCAACATTCTTTACAGACAGCAAGCCAGACACCCACTAAGGTTGTTTAAACACACTATCTAGTAGCCAAGAAAAATATGTGTAAAAAATAGTGTCAATACATAATCCATAATAAGAATAAAAATAGTCAATGGAAAGAGAAAAATAGGATATAAGATGGAGCATTTCCTACCACTAGATGAAAAAAAGGTATGGGATCAGATTTTGAAGACAGAATTTGAAGAATCAATAGAAAGTCCTGAAATAGAACACACAAAAGAAAGAACCAGGTGAGCGATGAGAGACCACTGAGCATGTCAGGCACATCCTAGGAG